TATTCTAATAATATAATATTGTATTATTTTATCTTATTATTTGTAACACCTTTAACCAAGAAGTGAAGGAAGTTTTACCATAGTTTTTTGTGCAATAGTGTGTTGTTGTGTACTGTAAATCCAGAGCCTTAAACTTAGCCTCCCTTTGGAGTCCCTAGGGATTAGAATATATCCCATGGCCGTCAAGTCATGAAATAAACTCTTAAAATCAAGCTGAGACTTGAGTGGCCAGAATTTCTGCCTCCCATTCATCCCCTGCGCTGAATTTGCCATGGAATTGAACAGAGAAATGTTTTGGAGCTGAATTTGTGTGCTACTGCAAAACCAGGACATCTCAGTCTTTAGTGTTGTTGCATTAGAAGACAAGGAACCTGGTGCAGAGGAAAAGTCTCCTTTATACTCAAGTATGTGGTTGAAGGGGCATCTACAAGCCCCTTGGAGACTGTGTATTGAGCTCTATGTATTATTGTCAAACGGATTAAATTAGAACAGTCCTTAAATACTTTTCTGTTATCTTTCACACTTCCCTGTGCTTTTCAGATTGGCAGCATTCCAGGATCACACTCATATTCCTCTTCCTTATTTGACAAAGATAACTTCAAAGTGATACAATTGGTTACTTAGTTTCATAATACAGTATTCCTATAGAATTACATAGTAGCCCTTCTGTCCAGCATTCTTCCATTCCAGTTCAAACCAGTTCTGTATGTCCACCTTATAAAATACTGCAGCATTAGCAGAAAAAGTAAGTACAGAGTTCACAAAGGCCCTCTCAACAAGCACAATGTGGGAGTAATCCTGTACCAGAATCTGAAATACGGTTATCAGGGTCAGAATTACATGACTTAGAAGATGGTGTATGAAGAGGGGATTTCTGAACCACTCAGTTGGAGTATACCAATCTCCAGCTCTTCTGGGAGAATGTGACAGCAATTGAGGGGAGACAATGTGAGCTTGGAAGCATTATATCATATTATATCATATACTCATATTTCACCACCAAGAATGTATTGCTTTAGCACATACAGAAGGATGGGCAGCAAATAGTGGAACAGTCTGGGTTCATGAGTCCATGCCCATATCAAGAGACAATCCTGGACTACGCCCACAGGTACCTTCTGGGAGGGCACCTGAGGGATTAAGTAAGAGAAAGATTCTGAAGCATTTCTTTTGGTGAGGATTCTTTAAAAAATCGAAGAATACTACCAGAGATGTGAAGAAAGCCAGAATCGCCACACAAGATATCACAAAAATAAGTGGGTATCTACGTATATTCTCCTTAACTCATTCCAGATGAGTGCCAGTGGTAAAAAAAAAAACATATTAACAAGTAAGCACATGAAGAGGCAATGATTTACCTCATGACTTCCCAATTCTGTAATAAACACACGACTCAAGTGGAAACAACAAAACAAATAATCAGGAAGCACTTCTTTATCCCTTGAAATGTGGGGGTATTGTGCAAGCTACCCAGCCATGTTTCTGAAGCCCATACACTAGCTGGATGAGATCCTTGGATCAATTAGTTACCAATTACCGAACAGGTTAGATGGGCTTAAAGGCCTCCGATCATTGTGCCCTTTTACACCTTTAAAACCTCTATCACAAAATATGTGAGACCACAGCTACACTCAGTGGTTTAACAGGTTGCTGCTGTGAATCCTATTCAATGCTCTTTAATAAATGATTGCAATGGGTACTAGATCCCCACCACCATGGTTCATGGTGGCATCGATAGAAACAAGGGCTGACAGCCCCGACCTCTCATAGGATCACTGTAGACTTAAGGCTGCAAGAGGCTTTTCCTTCCTCAGAGCAGCCAACAAGAGTAAGCAGCACACTCTATCAGATGCAGGTCCAGGAGAAGATACCATAAACAGCACAGTGTGATCGAGCTGTAGAGAAAAGCTGTCAGTTGCAGGAGCCAGGGAGAAGCAAGCTGGAAGGGCCTGAAGTGTGGGTGGAGAGTTTTGTGTAACAGGACTCTGGGAGAGAGCAAGAGAATGAATGTATGTTTGAGAAGGCCCTGGTTATAGTGACCTTTCTAAGGTTGATTGTCACTGGATGAGCAGTAAAGAGACATTGGCAGCTGCAGATGCTGAGTGTGAATGGTAAGAGTGCTGGATGTGAAGGTGTCAGGGCTGCAGGCTGGCCTAGCGAGTGTATTGTTAGTGGATGTGTTATTGTGAAGTACTGTATGTAGCAGCTGAGGTGCTGTAGCCTGTATTACGGTAGAATTACCTCTGTGCCGCCACTGGGGTTCTGGGAAAGACCCCGATCAAAAGCAATCTTGTGAGCAGAAATAGCTGACTTCTGTGGCCACCAGAGATGTGGCGCGGCTGTGCAAGTGAATTGAGATGAGCAGCAGAGAGAGCTCATTCAACCTTTCACAGAATAGCAACAATGTGTGAGATTTAAGATTCTGGAATGGTTACGACAGGGAATGGATTTTGGACTTTTCTACTTCTGGCTCATTTCCGAGGATAACTGAGAGGTGACTGAATTAATGTGTGTAGAGTCATATGAATTTTGTATAGAAAATGCATATATGTATAGCGCATAGACAACTGTGGCATATATTCACAGGCAGTTACCAGTTTTTTTTACTGATTTAGATTTACAGTTCCATTTAAATTAGGAATCTTATAAAATAACAAGGTCTGGTTCTTTATTTTTAGGTCATATTGTCACGCCCGACATCCCTCCCTAGAGGGCGCTCCACTGCTCCCGTTATTGTCCGTGTGATTAAGCTCTCCAGGTGTACCCTTTTAGCATTATTACTTAAGACCAGCTCCTCCAGTCCTTGGGGCTCATCATTAGGGTAAGATGTCGCGAGGCCCGCCTAGCACCAGGAAACCCTACGTCCGTCTCCTGAGGGCATAGGCCTCATCCCCGACACCTCCCGCTTCCCGAGCCAGGAGTCTGGAGAATCTCGCCCCGTCACCCTTGGACCTCCATGTTTTGTTCGTCCGTGTGCTCCCCTCTCCCGGGGATTTTAACTTTGTCACATCCCAGGATGGATTTCTTGTTGATGGACTCTCGGACTGTGCTTTGACCTGCCCTTGGACCCGTTTGGATTTGGATGCCGTTTTGTCTTCCCCGTACACTGTCTCACGGACTGTCACTCTTATTTTGTGCACTATTAAACCCCTGTGTGTTCCCTTTTACCACGCCTCCTGTTTTCTCCAGCTCTTGCCGCATCGCATAGGGTCATCTACAAGATCTGACACGGATTTCAGTCCCTGTTCGTGACACATATCAATGTGTTTAATGTTAAGCCCCTAATGTTTCATTTTGTTTTCTGCTTTTTAAGCAGAAAAAGCACCCCTTCCTTTCAAGACAAATACCATTTCCATATTGTGGTTTGAAATAAATTAATATGCCATATTGCTGACCAGGTTAAATAGTACATTGTCTTGACAGTATATATTTTTTGTCTTCTTTAAGAGATGTTATGCAAAATTTCAGATTACACAATGGGACAAATTGCCAACCCAAATATGGTATGGTACCCAAATCTATTAGATTGGAAAAGACACATTTCTGTGTACACTTTACTTTTATTGTGTTTTGAAATGCACCATCAGTGACAATTATTTCTAACACAAAATACAAAAATAGTGTTGCAATTCCCCCATTAATAGTTTATTCAAAACCTATACGCTCAAACTGAAGATGGCTAAGAATGAGATAACTCAGAATTAAACGTCAACAAAAACTGGAGTGTACTGCATTGATAGCATAAGTATTCAGATCTGTGAACTTAATATTTGCTCAAGGCACCTTTGGCAGCCACAAGTCACTTTGGTTAAGACTCACCCAGTGTTGGGATCAGTTTTTGCCTGTTCATCTTGCTCAAGCTCCTCTCACATTGCTTGTGGAAAGCCAGTTTTCCCACAGATTCTCAATATGATTCAAGTCAGGACTTTGACCTTTCACTTTCTTTTTCTTAAGCCACTCAAGTCTAGCTTTGGCATTGTTCTTTGGAGTATTGCTCAAAGTGGCATTTGAAGTGGCATAAATGCAAGCTTTAAAGTAGAAAATAGTTAAACTATGCAAGGATCTGAATACTTTTACAAGGCACGTAAAACTTGGCCAGCTTGAATATCTAAAGTTCATGGTACTGCACCTTTGACTGTTAAGAAAGATGTTTAAAGATGATAGGTAAATGAGAAGAAGATAGATGTTGATTTGGCATACAGAGGTTTGAACTAAAATTCTCACTGAAAGAGAAAACATGATTTTTTTAATGCACTCCATTATTAGCCTATGAATTTCAAATGTTGTTGTCACTAGGTGGCAGCAGCAAACTCTTCAGTAATGCAATATGTTACATAAACATAATACTGTGATGTTGGAAGTATTTTAAAGCCACTTATTTGAATGGAAATGAGAAAAGCTTAAAGCTGAGAAAATGACTTAAGGCTGTAATTGCTGAAAAAGGTGCTTCTACAAAGTATTTCTATTTTTGATATATTTTTTGTTACAGAATAAGAAATATTTTTGTCCCTTTAATTTGTTGTGTATGTCATGTGAATCAAGGGAAATAACTGATTTCAATGTATTCAATGAAATTCTGTTCATAATATGACAATATATGTAATTGCTCAGAGGGTGAGTATCTTCTAAAGGCACTGTACTTTGCAATGAATATTTACAAAGTACATTACTTCTTTGTAATGTTCAATGCTTCTGTTTTCTGATTTTTATTTAGTCTTAATTGTTGTGGGAGTATGGAACAATCTATGCAGCCATGTTTTTATAGGCAACACCCTATAACACCGGTTAAAAAAGTGGCCTTTTCTCGTTTGTAACTAGTTCTTTATGTTTTTATGTTTATATCCACCCATATGGGCATACTGTAGAATACACTAAGTCAGAGCAATTTGATACCCATGAAGATAGTTTTCCCTCATTAATCAAATGTCAAACAACCCACAAGGGGATCATAGTTGTGATGATGACTGTCATCATGAAAATAAAACAATCACACAGAGATGTTCAGCTTTTGAGCATTTTATTGCATATTGTTTGACAAATGCAGGTAAAGGGGTAGGAGGACAGACATTTGAAAGCAAGCAGACAGTCACAAAGCATGGGCCCAGAGAATTTTACACTAGGGCCACATGCTGGTACGCCCTTGATTTTTACTGCTGGGGTGCTGGAGCCAGGGCTTTAGCCTGGTCCAGGAACTTCTTCCAGAGCTCCAGGAGCTGGACCTGGGCGTTCTCAGCCAGGGGCTTCAGCTGGGACTGCAGGTTGTCAGTCAGGGGCCGGAGCTGCTCCTCAATGTTGTCAACGAGGGGCTTGAGCTGGGCCTGGATGTTCTCGGCCAAGGGCTGCAGCTGAGCTTTGCTATCCTCCAGGTAAGCCCTGAAGTGAGACAGGAGAAAATCAGAATCAGGAAAGGTGAAATGAACCATCCTGCTGTTTCTCAAATGATGCCAGTATTAAAATCTAGAATAACAAGAATTAAAATCCAAAATGAAAAGAACTGCAGTAAAGGTCAGTGTCAGATACAGAACTTTAACACAAAATCATAACAAAGAAAACATTAGATCTGTGTCATGATAGTAAATTCATACTGAAAAAATTAGCCAGATACTGTAGATGCAGTATGCAATGTGGTTACATTATGGACGACTTACTGAGCCTTGTTTGTCAGTTCCTGAGCCTTCAGTTTCTCCACCAGGTCCTGGGTGCCACTGGTAAGTGTGGCAGACAGGTCCTGGAAGTACTTGGTCAGCCTTTCAAAGTCTGGCAAGGATGGTGGGGCCTCCCGTTTCACCAGAGACAGAGCCTCAGTGCCTGTCAGAGAGCATAGACATGAAATAAAGGCATGTTTCTGCACTTTCACAGGACTTTCTTAGGTGAGAGAATCTTGTGAGAAAGAATAAGGCAGGAAGTGTATATATATATAAGGTTTGATGTTCTGTAAAATAAATATGCTGTATGGGTCCAGCATATAACTTAAAATACAATTTATGCCCAATATACGTTATGCCCATCTATAAACAAAATAACTACTTATATCATAGTTACACTAATTTCTCTTTATATATCATGTTTTTTTCAAAACTTTTGTGTTGTGGAGTGCTACTTTAAATTATCTTATTTGTGCATAATGTGTTTATGTGACTACTGTATTTTAAGAAATGTTATTAATTAAGGAACACCAGTGCAGTGCAGAGCAGTCATGATTACATAGCTTTTAGACCAGACTCATTCCTTGATTATATATAGCAAAATAGGACTCTGGAAAATGCTTCAATGACACAGAAGTAGTCAAATAAGGAAATACGTGCAATGCTAATTATTATTTTCTTTGCTTTTAAATAATAGGTGCCAAAAGACCTTACTGGCACAATTTTATTTGTTGTAAAATGGAAGGGCTAATCTTACCATGTGTCAGGGCTAGCACAACGGCAAGGGCGGAGACCAGGAAAAACTTCATGGCTACTGATTGGAATGGGCACCTGTCAATCACAACAAAATACATACAGTCTTTATATTCTATTGTTCAATAACAGTGAGATCCACAAAGCAGTTAAAAGCACTGATTCAGCTAGTCATTTTACAGTCTAGATGAAAATTATGAAAGTTAAGGACAGATAATTTAATTAAGGAAGCCTATGATACTGATAATAAGCCAAGGATACAAAGGTCTATTGCTGAGTTTGAAATAAAACAATATCATTTTTTCCAAGAACTGTATTTTGTTATGTATCAGTGCCAATACATAGGTAGATCCTGTTTATTAAGTTTTAAACTATAGTATGCTATCATTAGGAAGACCAGCATTGATGACAATTAAGACTCAACGAAGCAAGGTGTTTTTACTCTGTCCTATAAGTATGAATGCAAAAAAGTGCATAGTTTTGTACACTTAAATTATGTATATTACATTTTTAAGTATTCCATAAAATGAAATGATTGACTATTGGCCTATTATTAGTGTTCTTGAAGATTCAAGAGCTCAAGTTAATTGATTTCATATGCAGAACAAATCCAAGTTTATCTTTTTAATTGATTTCCTCAGTTGTTTTGTTCCTGGCCATCAATGACAGAGATATAAGCAATAGTTTCAAGGTCTGATTCTTAGAACAAAACAGAGGGGCATCTCTATCAGTGTAGTTTGTTTTGTCAATGAGTCTCCAAACATATCTCCTGTGTAAGTTAATGAATAGCAGGCACTTGGCAACCCTGTTATTTTAGTATTACCAATTACACACATAATGGGAATTTAAGATACTTTTACTGCTATTTTTAAATAGCTTGACCTACACTGACTTTTACTTTACGTGCCTTTACACACCATCACAAACTCCACATTTTTTTGTGTTTTCTGATGTATGCTTTCTTATTACACTACAAAATACATTTTCTACATTGACCTGATCACCAAAATGGTCAATAGGAAGTATTCTTGGCAAGTATGAATTTATATATTAGTGAAGATATAAGACTGGTATTCTGGAGCATTATACTGTACTTATTTGCTATTTTCCCAGTAATACCTTTTGCCTTTTAGAGTTTGGTCAAATAAAATTGGTCCATAAAATTGTTTCCAACCAACACTTTTTTCTCCCCAGCTAGAAGAGGTGCAAACCATTTTCACTAAAAACCAGAAATCATCCAAAAGAATGATGCATTCATTTATATGGATGTACAGATTTTCACACTTTCTTTCTAATCACAGTTCTGCACACAGGAAAAAGAGTCACTTATCTATTTTAAGTCAGATGTCAAAAAAAGTGCTCAGAACTGAAATGTAAAGAGTACTCCGCTCTAATGTTCAGCTCTAATAGTCCATAGCTACATTTAAAGATACATTACTGAACTCTTTCAGGTCAAAGAATCAAGTGGCTTACCTTTACTGCAAAGATTCTCAGACTTGATGTTAAGTTGAAGACTCCTAAGGGGACTTTTATAACTCCCTGAAGAAAGAGTAGAAAGTTTTCACCAAAGCGGATTGGCTGTCAGGAATGAGGACACAGCTTCTGATTGGATGGTCCTCTGTGTCAATCTTTGAAACTGTCAGAATTCATTGGCATGAGCAAACATTTTGTTGGCTGACCCTTGATGTGCTTTCTGCCACTAGTGTGATCTTCTCAAAGTCCAACAGTCAGCGTCATCTTCTGCTGACTGAAAAAATTGATTGCTTGTTTATTTATGGTTGTGATTAAGAGATTCAGATTTTTGGAACTAATGAGAGAAAACAACCACCTTCCAATTACAATTCTGCTTTCTAAAATTGTGTTCTATTCCTAAAATCACCACTTTGAAGGAAATATTATTTATACAATTTTTTTGTTTTCTTTCCTTATGAAACATCCCTAATTCAAATTTACCGTGGTTTTACAAGATAATATAATATTTATATAATCAGTATATAGACTAATTATTATTCCTATGTTTTAAACATGCCAGTACTTTATTTCCATCCACCTTATTATTAAATCATTTTGATACAATGTAACAGACTAAATATATTTTAATGGCATTAAGAGGAGGAAGAAGAGGAGAAGGTTTTAGTAAAACTAGCAAAGATTTTTGTACAAAGGATTCTTATTGTTGGTGAATTCACAAAAACAGTAATTAAAAAAAATGTTTTCACAATATAATTCTTAGCTACTATGAAAGAGTCAGACTTCTTTTCAGATGCAGGCAAGTTTGCAGAAGTCATTGTTTGCACACCTTCACCACACTATGTCCATATGGCTATGCTAAGTGACCTTTAATCTATTCTACAACCATAGAACCCTTCTAGAGGAAGCTTATAGCATATGTATTAGAATAATTTCTATGTATGTGTATTAGATAAAATAGAAGTGGTGTCTTTTTTTAGTTAATGTTCTATTCTGTGTTTCATTTGAAGTCCAAAGTTGTGTTGTCCTGTTATCATGTAATAATGTAATTCTGATTGAATCAGCCCCCATCACCAGTGGGTATTATCAGTCATTGCTTCACATAACAAAGGAGACAGATAACAGCTGGCCTGTCTGCACACCCCCCTCACACTGCTGTGAGATCAAGTGAATCACAAAGACAAAAGATTAGGTTTGACTGCGTGTGCATATTAAGACGCTAATCAGTTAGGTGATGTTTATTGAGCTTTGACCGTTACCTCATATTTTTATTGCTCTGCCAAAGCAGTGACTTATGTGTCTTATGTGGATATAAAAGTTCACACAGAGATATACAGTGTACTTTAAGACATACAAAAAGCCTACCCTAAAAACAGATTAATATACATAACGGCACAATAATTGTGAATGGAATATTATGGGATATATATTGAGATATTGTTGACATACAGTATGCATTACATCAGCTATCAGGTAAGGAATTTACTCAGAGAAAGCTGACATCAGTTGTGGAGAGTTTGTTTTTTTCTTTCTTGACAAACTTTTGATGTCATTACATGATTACAATAGACAGTTTCATAACCATCTAAGGACTTTTACACATTATATTGGCTGAAATGTGAAGATGGGCTGCAAGAGAAGAAGCTTTACTTATCATTATCTTTCAGAATTTTCTTTCCAAAAGCATGCTACGTTTACTACATGAATAAAGTGATGTAATTAATTTACTGCAAATTAAATCTTATACAATGGTATCACTGCTTAAACGTTTGTAGGCCTTAAGGGGTTGTGAAACTTTCTGATTTCTTGCTCAACATCCAGTACTCAGGTCAAAACAAAAAGGCAAGGGGTCGTTGCCAGGCTGGGGTCATGTGTGATGTGATAGCAGTCGGAATCGTTGGGAAAGGGGCTCATGAATTCATTGCAGATCCGGGCATTTTATATTCTAAAATTCAGGGCAGAGAAGCAAAAACACATTCACACCAGGGCCAGTTTTCCTATAAGCCAATTAATCAACTAGTATGTTTTTTGGACCGTGAGAGGAAACTGGAACTTCCAGTTTCCCATGGAAACATAAAAACTCCACACAGATAGCACCCCAGGTTCCAGAATTGAACCCAGGGCTCCAACAAATCAAGGCATTTGTGATACAAGTGAGTTGGTCACAATATTCATAATCTAGGTTTGGAATGTTGTTTATGTGAACACAGAAACACACATGTAACACATTTGCTGCTAACTGTATGTATCTATATCCACACACCAGGTACAGTTGTGTGTGTTTTAATTGTTTGTGGTTGTGATTATCTTAGTGACTCTCAGTTTTATGCAAATGGCTGAACCTGTCATTGTTATATATTTTTTTAATTATATAATGTTAGCATGCCCAAAGGGATTGGGCAGCCAGTTGACCTTGGACCCCTAGAGGTTTTTTTCTCCTTACTAAGGAGTGTTTGGTTCCTCTCCTCTGTTGTCTTCTGGTCTTCTGTTCTGTATTGAAAACATGTATGGTCACTTGCATTGTTAAGCGCATTTGGGCAACCTTGTTGTGAAAGGTGCTATATAAAATTAAATTGAATTGAATTGAATTTTAGCTTTCAATGCTAGATTTGCCCCTTCCATAGATTATTCAGCCCTAGGTGTTCCTATTCTTCCCTGATGCCCTCTTCCATCTGTTCGCAGCTGGGCATTCCAAGCGCAGCTTGTAGCAGACAAGATACTGAATCTAAGTCTTTTGCCAAGCTGTGTGTAGGAGTTTCACATCACCACCAGTTTTGGCAGGTTTAGGCAAGCATCAGGTACAGTAGGAATGTGTCACATTCAGACACCCCTATCTCAGGCTCGACAATGGACAATATTCAACACTGGTGGCAATTCTTTCAACAGATTGAAGAAAGCTGCTTCTGCCTGTCAGGGTCACGATAGGCCACAGATCTCCACTTGTGGCTCTGCCCCTTTTCTGGGGTAGTGATATCACTTGTTTCTGCAATCACACCAACTAGGGATTTACAGAATTATCTTGGCTGCACCCATTGTACTGCCTTTTCAACCATGTCAGAGTCTAGAGACATGCTGCAGTGGCCTGCTGCGAGACCCCTTCATCCCAGCTCACTCAATATCACTGACTCCATTGTTTCTTTAAAACATCTGCCTTTGTAACCTCATCACACTGCTCAATGGTGGCCCTACATGGTAACCTGCTGGATACCCAATACCATCCAGTTCAGAACTGGAATGAGAATTTTAAATTATGTGGACAAGTGGTTGTTATTCAGTCAGATTGACTGGTTTTTCTTTGTAATCAATTAAAAGATGAGCCACCTAAAGTTGGACCTTCCTGGGTCTCAGGTAAGATTCTCATGCAACAAGGTCTCAAGACATGATTACCAGTCTCACTGCCTGCCTCTTCAAGTTGGAAAATACATTGAGTTTCAAAGGTTTCATGGTCGCTAAGCTCTAACAGTAAGCCTGCCTCACTTTTGACATTTCAGCTGTGGTTCAATACCTTTTATGTTGCATTCAATGTTCAACAGACACTGTCAGCTGGTGTTGTCACGAGTTTCCCCACTGATCTATCCAGCAGTGCATCTTTGGGCTGTCAATACCCCATTTGCCTACATTGTGTTTGGGTGAACTTTGGAACAATAGGTGTTCCTATGAGCTTCTTCATAGAAAAGTAATAGAAACTCATATAACCATTCATTTGAGTTATATACTTGTGGTTTTCCTATTCTTTAACCGTGTTTCTTTGTGTCATCAAAGTTATTTGACCAATGTTGTAGCTAATTGTGAAATATTTTGGAATAACTTGACAGGAAAAGTGCTAATATATATACCTTTATTGTCCATCTAAGAGGAGGAAATTTGTCTTTGGCATCAACATACTGAAGTTCAAAAACCAAATAACACTCAATAGTCTAACAATATCTATTGCCACTCAACAATACATCTAATACAACAATACATTCTCTCTGTCCATATTACAGTACATTATCATTACACTAGTCCAATAGCTTCATTAGCTTCAGGAAATAGTCATTTACCTGTGTTTAATATATCAGTTGCACAGGGAAAAAAAAGATTTCTTGTATACATTTTTCTTGGCCATATGCAATTCTAAAGCACCTCCCTGAAGGCAGCAGTTGAAAATGGGAATGAAGATGGTGAGAGGGGTCATCAATGATAAGCTGACCTTTTCTTTGAACTGCAATAGTAACAATTCTGGCTAATTCCACTTACACTTAGTTATCGGGCTACAATTCCATACTGTGATGCCAAAAGTAAGGATGCTTTCTGATAACATTCTTTAAACTCTCTCTAAAATGTTTTGACTCACTCCAAACCCTTTCGACTTCCAGATCAAAACTGTACAGTATGCTGACACCCTTTCTTAAAAATGCCATTGGTATTCTCTGAAACATTTGAATGTTCATCTATTGCTGTTCCTAAGTATTTGAAACACTGAACAAACTCCACAGCTTGATTAATAAGGGAGAGAGGTTAAAACTCAAACTTATTACTGTCACATGTAGCAAAATCTTTGGTTTTATCAATATCAATATGAAGCATGCTTGACTAACACCACCCTTCCAGCTTACTTATCTGTTTAAAGTAATTCTCCACCCCTTTTCTATCATCCCAGATAAACAATCCCACTAGGAGCATATCATCAGTGTACTTTAATAGATTAACAGAAGTGCCTTTTCATTTTATTTGTTGAAATGGAAAATAGTAAAGGTAACAAAGCATAGACTAATCCAGTATTTAAAACAATTTCATTTGAAAATATACTGATCATAGGAACCTGCTGTGGGTGATCTGTTAGAAAATACTTAATCCATTTTTAAGCCTTCCATTAACATTAAAACCCAACAGCCCTTCTAGTAGAATGTGGATCTGGATTGTAGTAAATGCTGGACTAAAATCAAGAAATAAAATACGCACTTTAAATATGATTTTGTTGCAGAGGACTACCTACTAAACTCTTAAGTCAAAATTGCATGTTTTGTCCTTCTACATTGTTTATAAGCAAACTGCAAGGGATCCAGATGATCAGCAATCAAGAGAGTAAGA